GGTTTAGGTCCCAGATTTATGTCTGCCTGAGCCAACTAGGCCATCCATCCCTCCGGGGTCGTTAAGTTGGTACCAGACTCGTGTGAGAGGGTAAAAGCACTGACTTGTACATCGGCTGACCAACCAAATGCCACTTCGATTGCGATGTACAATTCTGAACGAAAGTCAAACGCGAGGTGTAACCACAACGGGATTGATTAACGCCAATAACTTTATCCTTGTTCCTTGAGTAGTAATTCTTGAAACTTCAGAAATTCATCGATGTTTGTTCCACCGCGTGCAAACGAAAAGAAGAAACGGTACTGAAGGGACTCGATGTTGTAGCGCTCGAAAGACTCGATCTTGTTGATGAGATCGATTTTCACTCCTTCATATACTGTCTACTCTTGCTACAACTATGATTATTTTGTAAATATACGTTCCACTATGCGATATTTAGGAATATTTTCATTACAATCGTCATTTGCAGGTTTTCGCAGCATTATGAAACATGGCCGCTTATCAGTTCACGGAAAGTCTAGCCAAACATTCCACCTCAGCATTCCTGTGGAGTGACTCACTGAACTCTGGCACTGAACAGTCAGTCATGCTCGATGAGCGTGACTTTGTTTGCCACTTCCTGAAGGGCTCGATGGTGCCGGAAACTGATTGGGTTATGAAAAACTTTGTTATTGCCTTACTATTTTTTGCACGATTAGAGCATTACTGATAACTACTCCAAAATTAGATGTACTATGTACGAACACATTCCCAAGATAACAGTCTATTCATTCCGATATGGCATGTGCATGAAAGGTCACAAAGATGCTCCTAACTGCTGACCTTTTTCATCGTGAATGCCATGCATTCTACTTTCCTTGACATCGTAAGGTACTTAGATAGTGTTCGTAGGTCTACCGGCTAGGAGGGCGAAAGATAAAGCTTCTAGCGTTGGTGAGTTCAATTTTGGGGTTGGTTTTAGGAGATTTGGCATACGCACGTCACCCAACTTTCACTGTTAATTCTAGCTGCGTTTGAATGGGTACTGGGAATACAGTCGCAGAGTTCAGGCGTAATACAAGTCGGTAATTTAGTTTCTCAGAAGAGGGTGGTACCAACCAGTCGGTCGCCGTTGGGAGGGTAACCACGTGGTGCATGCAGCTTTCATATTTGGGATTCTCCCAGATAGTTGCACCCACACCAATTCCTCGCCCAGACGTTCCCGATCCCTTCCATGCTGGTACTGATAGTTCAAGCTAATCCGGATATTACCTAGGGATAAAGGAACACGGGCAACCTGCTCGTTGTGGTTTACGTCCGCCATGCACCAAGAATGCGCCATGCACCCATTATAAATTCGTTTAGAACCTCACACATGTACGAATTGAAATATTGAAAGAATTTTTGAATTCTCTTCTCAGAACCTCCTAAGAACCGAGGGAGCTGAGAATATTCCCCGTTGTATAGTAGAAAATGAATGTGGGAGGTCTACTAATGTATTAGCCACTCTAAAAGCTTTTTTCCAAATTGCTAGAGAACAGACATTAAATACCAATTATGCGATGCGATGTCAAAAGATTTTGACAAGAACCGTCGTAATTGTCCTCCCCCACTATTCTTGCCTTATCAGCTGACTTCGTGACCATATCAAGAAAGTTTATCAATATAATGCGGACAAATGTATGTGACTTATAAGCCATTTCATCGAAAAGCTTGTCAGAATCCTCAAAAGGACCATCTGGCGATTGTTTTCGGTCAAATCAAAGTCGTCATAAATGATTTGGAATGTTATCGAGATAATCAATATTTATTTTTTTTGCTTAGAATAAAATTTTGGACAATGACTTCTCGTTTTTGACTGGTTTACGTCTCGATCCGCTCGAAGGTAGTGGGCACATCGACGATATGGGTACTGGCTGTGAGCCAAGCTCAAACCGCTATCGAGACTTCACATCGTTCTTGGGCTCTTTGTGTCCCCTGTCGGACCCGTTTCACGTATTTGTATCCAGAGTATCCAGATACTTTTCAATATTTCCAATAGTAGGAATTGCTAATGAATAGTAATGAGTGATAATGGTGGTTATACTTAGGAACCGTGAAGATTCAAAACTGATTAGTTAGATAACAAATAGCGCATTATCACGACGGTCATCCCTCTCGTCCGGAAGTTTACCGAAAAGAGAACTACAGACAATAGTTTACTGGACGTCCAATGATTAACAACCATGAAAACATTGTAACGTGACACGCTACATTTCTTCATGAGACTTACCCTAACCACTACCGTAAGATTGGGCGGAGCTCACCCTGGTGACCGTATACGACTAAGAGGAGGTCTTAATTGGGTAGCGTTCAAAAGAGACAGGTGAATGATTGAAAACAGAAACTGCCATTTAATATATAGTCACTGGTGACCCTCTTCATTTGCCTACTATTAGACAAGCCTTATGCAATTTTCTGGGTCGAACTAAAATTTCAGACTGAGAGGTGGGAGTGAGCCGACAAACAATGCTCAACCTAAAAAGAATCAATTTTTAGGGGTCAATTTGGGATGGGTCCCGCATTCGACTTCCATTCAGATCGTAGTGGCGTTTTGAAAACGTATTTGACCTATACAAAGAATGACGGTGGCTGTAGGTGCGCGGTCCGCTACAACACCTCTATTTCTGTATCCATCAATAAGATCTCACAATCGCGATTAATTTTAGTCCTAAGACAGAAATAGTATACGAATTCCGAGCGAAAACCTCAACCACTTCTACACGCACTTTACAGAACTCATTAAGCTCAGCCCACAGTGCCTTCTTGTCATCCTTATAATTTGAAGAAGATTGGTGCAAGTCGCTCGTATTTCTGTGCAGAGGAGGACATGGTGCTAGCAGCAGAGGCCCAAATCAGGTGCACAAATCATAAGCTCAATCCCTGACGAAGGGTACCTCGTCGAGAGGTTTTGTTGATGGTATTATAGGTACGCTCTGGCACTTTTTCTGAATTTGAACCCCAGTACATACTTTCTCGAACATCGCAAAAGACATGCCCCACCGAGGCAAAGTATGAAAGTCCCATCAGAATCGATTGGCCCTCTTTGCTATTTTCCCGTCACTGGTTCTTGTACTGGCCTTCGAAATATTTGTAATCATTCTGAGATCGCTTTCGTCGACAGATTCCGGTTAATCGACAAGAACGTCGGAAAGATTATCAGTTCCTTCCATTTAACGTCCATCACAGAAATTTCGAGAACCCCCGCTGACAACCTTTTTTACCGTATACCGGACTTTATGAAGCCTCACCTTGGAAATTTCAAACTCAAGCAATAAACTAGATATCGTGGGAAATCTAATGGGGAAAAGACGTTAGGAGATAACGAACTTCGTGAAGAAGGTCAATCGACCTGCTTTGGTGTCTCTTTCAAGCCTGGACTGACACCCGAACATGGTTTCAGGGTGGTTTCATGTCTTAAATGGTGACTCAGAATTCACGAAAATCGTATTCTCTGGCAATTCTAGCGCTTTTCCCGTCTACCAAGATTGTTAAATAAACTTCCACTCGAAGTGACCTTATAGCTACTTAATTCCATTTCGTTGGGTA